CCAAGTCTTTGTGGAGCCTTTCAGAACAAAATAGCCGTATCGTATATAAGCCTTAAAGATATCTCTCTGCAGCAGAAGTATGAAATGTTTGGTTTGCAATATCAATTGGACACCTATCTTAATATACAGTGTAAACACTGACCTTTAAAGAGAGGACTGACATCTTCTATCTGTTTTAAAGAGGTAATTGCTGGATTGAATTACATTGAAAGGCTTTTGCCTAAATGATAACACTTTCACTTTCTTTCAGTCTAGATGCATTAGGGATGGGTAAACGAGCATTATCTTTAAAATCCAGCATCCACCATAATTATGGTATTATGGTCCCATTCAGCGTAGAATGTGTTTGCCTGATATGATAGATATAAATATATATAAGCAAGTAGCATGGATCTGTTATCCTGACCAAGAAACTCAGGGTAGTTAACTTCTGTCTAAATGTTATTTTACCCTACTGCTCCAAGTGGTGTTGATTGATTCTCAAAAAAACAGTTTTGCTTGAGGGTACCCCACAGTAACAAATGTCACAGCAGCCACCCACCCGCTGTGTTTCAGTGGAGGTGGCTGTCTTATGTGTCAGCTCGGGATTATATACATCACACTGGGGAACACTAAAGCTTTCCATCCTGCAGCTCCGCTGTATCCTCAGTGTCCCGTCCCTTACATAATGTTCACACTGCAATGTCACGCCACGTTACTGCCTACTGCCTGTCAGAGGAGGGGAAAATAATGACTGCACTGATGTGTTGTTAGGAGTGTGTGTAAGCAAGTGTGTGTTGGTGCTCCAGCTACATTTTTGTTTTGGTCAAGGACAACATTCTTTGCTGTCTACAGGAATAAAGAGAAGCCAGTTGATTGGTTATTTACTTCACAGCTCATTACAACACACATATGCATAGACAAGGCACACCCTCAAAGCACACCTACAAGGTCACAGCCAAAGTCGATGTTTCTTTTAGACAGTTTTCGTCTGGTTTCAAAGTGTCCCTCTGAGACCTTATTAGACCTAACAACCCTGAGCTTCATTTATCAAACAATATGTGAGTGTATTAGAGCATGTGCATGTGCATGTGCATGTGTGGAATAATAACAACTTTTTTGTGTGTGTGTTTCTTTTTGTGTACAAGAAACATGGACTTGCCTGCAATCATCATGCAAAGTGTCGTATTAACACATGACAAGATGGAGAGCCAGCCCACCCTCACGGAGGGTTTAATGAGACTTTCAAAATGCACTTTTTGAATGCAGGCAGAGATGCGGTAATAAGGATACAGATTTTGTAGAAGCTCTGATTATGTTTTACATAAGCAAACACACTCTGATCAAGATATGTTTGAGAAGTCCGAAAACTGCTTCCATTTCCTCTGAAGATTATTTCATTAAACACCAATATTTGACAACACTGGGATGCTTAAAGTGTTACAATCTAGATGACCATCCCTTCAGAAGCTTGAGCTTTTCAAACACTAAAGGTCACACAGACTTGAAAGTGCTTTAATCCTTTCACTACACAGATTATTGATTCATTAATGAGCACATTTGATCTTCCAGTTAAAATGACCAAGTTCTAAAAAGTGTGTTTTGGCTCAGAACTTCAAATGAAGTCAATTCATGACAACTTCTTGCAGACAACCACAACACATGCACAAAAGTGAATACTTAACCGTCACAGGCGACCAAATTAAATGTAATGTAGGACTTCATTTGCAGGTCTTTCTCTTGTGATGCAGTATTTCTACGCAGTGGAAGCACTTTTTCTGATGATCTAAATCCTACTTCTTACACCACAGCAAAAGTCTCATCGAAAGTCAAAACACAGCAAACCTCAAATGGTTCAAATATCAAAAAACTAAGCAAAGAAGATTGCTGATGTGCTCAAAGTAGCTTTAACTAAATGTGGTATTTTGAGTTCATACTGAATCTGATGAAGAGGGACGGATTCACATTTCTAGCTGATATCACCAGAGTCAAGCCTCACACTCTGCAGGGCAACGGCACAAAGAAGATTATTATAAAGATGCAGAACTGTGCATAATGCATAACTAAGCTCACTGCACTAAAAAGCTGAGGAAGAGAAGGAGAGGGCTGGCTAGCTCACTCTCACTCTGGCTCACATTATTTGCATCATAATAAATCTCTAAATTATGCAAATGCATGCTTGCTTTCATGTGCACGCGCAGACACACCGACAAAAGGCAGCCTTCTATGCATGTGTCAAGTCAGCAAAGTCACTGGAACATGAGAGAGGGAGGGAAGATGTGTTATTTAGTTTTCCAATGAATTTATTTATGGGAGGGTTGTTTTTATGCAGTTTTGGTTTTGCCTCTTACGGGTTGATGTGCTTTTGATGGCACATGGCTACATTCTGGATTATTTACATTTCACTGGTTTGTATAGCAGAAGAGAGGAGGGAAAAAGTAGGAGGATGAAGAGGTGGAGGAAGGTTAAAAGAAAAAAGCTTTGACTAGAAGGAGAGAGATAGAAAGAACAGAGGAGAGGATGAAGAAGCAAAAAAATAAGCTGAAAATAAATATGTTTGTAAGAAAAGACATACAGTGCTGAGAAATATTTAAATAGTGTTCAATGTTTTATAATAATTCAACCAAAAAAGATGTATAGCATATTGTGTTGACATAACATTACAACCCAGTCTCACGGCATTTCGTGTTATAGTCACAACAAATGTGTCACACAGAACGATTTTAAAAGCAATGTATTTCCATTGGTAGTATGTTTCGTGCCTGCACCACGTCTTTTTGTCCGGTCGGGTCTTGGAAGACCGGAAGCTGTGTGGTTCATAAAAACATTGTCTTACTCAATATCTTACCCTAAGCCTAACCCTATCCCTTTTATTTTATATTGTATAATGTCGGAGTTTTTTTGCCGTCCGCGAGGAAAAGGAATGGGGCTCAGAGCCTCAGAATACTGAAATCTGTATATATATATATATTTCTTTCTTCTAATTTTGTATTATTTGGTGCACACCATAGAAATACATTGCTTCTAAAATCGTTCTGTGTCAGAATACTGAAATCTGTATTTTTTATTTTTTTTTGCACCTAACGACGTGCAATTAATATAGGCCAACAAACATGCTTATCTATATACTGTATAGCTAAATATAGACACGTATGCACAAGAGGATACAGATGTGCACCAGCACACACAAACACAATATCTGAATCCATGTGCTTACACATGCAAGTATTCATATTAGCCTAAATAGAGAGCTATACTTGGCTAAGCTAAACATAAAGCAAGGGGAAACTAGCTAGCCTTGCTCTCTCAAAAGTAAAACAATTCTAAAGCTAAGTGATTGTATAAATAGCATAACATTTTGCTAAATAGATTTACATGAGAAGATTGACACAAAGTTCATGTTTTGTACAATATGTTGTAGCTAGTGCTAGCTGTCTGTTAGCGCAGTGTAGCAAAAAGTCTTGAAGCTAACTTGCTATAGCTTCTGTACACATTTCAAAAACATGTCGACCAACACCTCTGAAGCTCAAATTCAGATTACTATCCTGAGAAGGGCAATTGAGTTTACACGGTCCATACACATTACTTGTATCCTCACTTTTGAACCACGCTACTGCTAATAAATGCTAAATCTTTGACCTTCTATTAGCCTAAAATACCAGCTATTACCTTCAGAACGCTTAAACATTTGCCCAAAAAAAAGAGAGAAGTGGAGATAGGAGAGGAAATGAAAGAAGAGAATATAAAGAACTTGGAGAGACAGATAGAAAAGGTGGTGGTAAATAAGTCAAAAAAGGAGAAGTGATAAGATGGCTGAAGAGGGAGGAAGCGAGGCATTTTTAAACAAGAGGAGGCATTGTCAGTGTTGAATAGACGGGCAGTTGTTGAGGAGCAATATCAGGCATGGATGCTTTTTCAGACAGAGAGATTACTAAACGAATCAGAGCATTGCAACAAATACAAATTCTGTACACACATGCACTCTCCTGTATATCATTGCAGGTATGAATGCCTCTGTTAACCCCTGGGTTTAACTCAGGCTTTATGTGGAACAGATCTGTTGTTCAAGCCCATACTCCATTTGTTGTAGCATTAGATATAAATCTCTGTGCAGATTTGCCCTTGTATTGCATCTTAGTGGTAGTACAACTTTGCAGCTGTTCTCTGAGTTGTGATGTTATGCTTTGTTTGAACTGAAACACACTGCAAATCCTCTTCTCACTCCCCAGCTGGTGTCCGCCTCTGAAGTTGAGCAATGTGTTTCTTAATGAGTCTCTAATCATAGTTCTTTCTCCCTTTTTATTTTATTTGTTTTCAGTAAGAGCCATGAGGGGTCTCGGTTTCTTTGTGCATTTTTATGAAGTATTGTTTATAGTTGTTCTGTTTTTGCGGGCATTTTGGATATGCACTCTTTAGGGCAATTACAATCATAAGAAGGAATGCAATATTGCTAGACCATTAGCAGCTGCAGGAAAATACATATTCTCTGGTGTTATTAAGTAGCGTTTTTCAGACATACCCTGAATCCGTGCAGGTATAAAAACGCAGATTTAGATTTAAAGCCTTAATCCAGCCATGATTTTTCATGTGTTGGACTACTGGTTGGATAAAAGAAGCTATTTAAAGACATGATATTGGGCTTTTTATTTTTGTAACAGTCAATTACATCTTGAATTTGTACTGTTTTCTGAACACCAAAGGATTTATAAATGAATACAAAAAGTATTGCCATACGAATTGCTAATGAAAGTAAATGATTGTTGCAGTCCTATCACTTGCCCTATCACGATGGCCTTTTTTCTCAGTTTTCCGACAATAAATAATACATTTACTTGAAAAACAGACATATTTATGGATAATGAAATAATTAGCTTCAGACCTACTTATTTCCTCATGAAACATAAAGGTGGTATCCCTCTCCACTTCCTGTTGCTTTTTCTTTCTCATCTCTCTCGTTGTCTGTTTAATTGGGTTCATTTCCCTGTTTCCCTTAACAGATGTTGTATCTGTGTGTGTTGCAGGATCACTCTGAATGGGATGAAGGTGTCCAGGCCAGACGTTCGCATCGGCCGCTACAGAATGATTAAACACGAGAGAGACAAACACAACGAGCCGAACCCACAGAGGTACTGCATCATTGTCCAAACACTTTCTGGGGCATTTGGATCGATCGCGCTGCTTTTGTCTCAAAGCTACACAGTTCAGATGTTTCTTTTCCAAATATTTCATCGCCATGTCAGAGAATTATCATTATGTTGCGCGGCAAAGGGCACACTATCAATAACACACATTTATAATTAGAGATAGCTAGATGAATATGCCGAAACATGAGCAACACAGGCAATATATGACCAGATATAAAACCGGTTCATAAATATTTCTCGGTTCTTTGTCAACATTATCTGCTTCTATTCTGTCCAATGTTGCTGAAATCACATGTTAAATACATTTTAAAACCTTTAAGATGATTATATGAGAAGCCTTCCCCTTGTTATAGCAATTTCAACGCTCACTTTGTGCTCATTCACAGTTCACACCTGAGAGCTACGTAATGTTAGTCCATCGCTCCTGCTATTATTCACTGAACAGCTCCTAAGGGAAAACTTCACACTTAATAATAATAGAATCAAATATACAATACAAATGATTATGCTAAGGGAAGGGGGAATTAAAAAAAAAAAAAAAAATGGTATCTAATTTTCCTCAATGATTCGGTACAATGTTATGTATGTGTCCATTGTTTCAGTGTCTTCTACACACTGGTAAGAATACTGGTTTTGTCTGGTAGAAAATAAAGAATCTTTTATGAATATTTGTATTTAAGTATATTGAGTCAGAAGGACTGTTTTGAGCTACATCACCCAAGGTTTCTTACGGCCCGTCCACACAGCGGCGTGCGTTGAAGCTTGCCGGCGGGCGTGTCTGAAACTCGACCAACAACCAATCACATGAATCTCCCGCCCCTGACACACAAGCAGCGGTTTGATTGGCTAGAGCTTGTACTGGCATATGATTAGATTGGCTGACGCTTCTGCCGAGGCTTCAAAAGTTGAACATTGCTCAACTTTTGCAGCGAGCCACGCCAGCAAAGCTCCGCTTCGCTTCCCACAATGCAGTTCGGCGAAAAGTGACATCACCCCATTCAAAGTGAATGGTGAAGCTTTCAACGCACGCCGCTGTGTGGACGGGCCGTTAAATCCCCCACCCCTTTGAAAAACATGAAATGGTAGCTTCTGCCCTAAATGTATACTGTAAAACTAATTCCATCACTACTGCTGCTATTGAATCAACCAAGACAAATGTAAATTAGAGCATAAAGCTAAAAGAAAAGGTGATGAAACTGGAACAATAAGTCAGGTATTGTTTATATTTGATGAGTTTCAGATCACCCTACAGCATTTTTCCTCTGAATGATAAAAACATTTCACTCATAGCAGGTTGCTAAAAAATTAATGCATGAGGCTTTTTAAATGCATGAAGACATGGACATGTTAAATAACTAAAATATACATGCATTTTAAAGATGCACTTGTAATTTCCTATATTCACAGCATTTATAATAGTTGCCCTTCTACTAAAATGCAAGTTTCATAAATATCAACACTAGGCTGCGTCTGCTGCGATGTCATTAGATGTTGGCTGCAGATAAGGAGGGGGCTTTAATATGCAAGAAGTATCAGATGACTGAGCAAAATGTAAATAAAACTAGTTCTCCAAGGGACACAGCTCGGCCTTTCTGGCCACTAAAAGATTGGTAGAGATGAAAAAAGGAAATGTAAAAAGGACAAAACTATTTTCAGTAAACCAAAAATGGCTTTCCACAGATGCAGCCCAGAGGCTTTTGTGTCGCTCTTTTGGCTACACGCATTTAAATTGCTTTTTGAACAAACGTGAAAAAATGCTTTCCCTATAAATGTGTTATTTTATGGTTTGATGAATGAGATGCAATATGCAGAGATGAGCCCTTCTAGACACATTAATCACCAGGAGTATAGCACCTCACACTAAGCTGCTTAAACGTGGATTATCACTGTTTATTCTCCTCTTAAGAGCCCAGTTTTTATGCCTCGATGGACCAGGCAACGATGCCTCTCAACACAGAAATCGATATCCGCTACAGCAGAAATAGTGATCTCTGTTCCCTCCTTCAATATGGTTTTAGTTTGATCTCATGTGACATCACAGCATTTTGAACGTCAGTATTCACAGTTGACTTCAAGTGTAGCTGCGGCTCCTAAATTGTTTTATAAGAAGATTAAAAATGAGTCATGTGTGAGAGAGCAGCGTCAGCCAAACAAATTATGAAATCTTTTATTTAGATTTCGCATACAGCCGCTAAACACGTGTTGCTTGAGTCTCTTATGGCGCATTTCCACCGCAGGCCTCGCTCGACTTAGTACGGTTTTGTTAGGCCTTGTTAGGCCCAGCTCACTTTAATGCTGCGCTTCCATTACAGTTTAGGAACTGGGGTAGTATCTAGTAACGCAGTGTAGGTGGAGCCGTGACGTCATCTTCAATGAGCACCCCAGAAAAACAACATCAGCCGTTAGCTGTTAGCACTCAAGCTCACAGCTCCTCATATATGTTCCGAAACTAGACAAAAGTTAAACAAGTACAAACCACAGACTGCCTGTGTCATGGCGAATACAGTCGCTGGTTTATTTATGTCTGTATAGGCCGTTGTTGTGAGTGTGGACGGTCGGAGCATATATTGCGTTAGCTTAGCCGATATCCATTTAGACAACGCGCATTTAAAAAGGTTTTTCGCCTGCCGTCTGTCTGCAGACTTGTCAAAGCATTAATTCATGGTTTTTACTAACTGGTATCAGTATGTTGTTACTTCGGCATCATTTTGAAACGTGTATTACAATTAAATCACGGTAAAATATGTTCATCTTGTTGTAGTTGTAGCCCCCTTGCCAGCGATTCTCTCTCTAGTTTAGCAAACTCAGCCCGACTCAGCCCTGTTTGTTGGCCCCGATAGAACCACGATTTTGTCGGGCCAGAAAAAAGGTGAAAAAGTAGCCCCGGGCCGGAACTAGGCATAGTGGAAACGCAACCAAAAACGGGCCCGGCACGACACGGCACGCTTAAACCGCGCTACATGGTGGAAATGCGCCATTATATATGTGTGAGAAAAGTATTCCCAACAATTTCCATTTTGGAAACTTCTTGAAACCTTGATTTTATTTAGAAATTAAAACTTAGTACTTTGGTATCAATTTACTGAAGCAATCATATCATACATAAAAGCTTGGCATAACTGTGTTTATTGCAGCTGCCTATGAACTCTTGTAAAGGCACTTTTATTCATTACAAAGTCAGTGTAATTCATGTCATAGGTGACTCTTAAAACACATTGTTCAGCCATAAAATTATGCTTTCAAGTTTGATCCATGACATTATGATTACTGATGTAAGAAATGAAAGCTTTAATAGTAACGGATTCTGTAAGAAACAGCCAGCGACTTATTTATCTCAAAAGATGATGAAACAAGAAGTGTTCGGTTGCTAAGAAGCAGAGAAGTGTTGCTCACATCCTGGCCTTACATGCATACCTTTTACTGACTGCACTTTGATGTTATCACTTATTATGTTCCCTTTGCTATGCTAACATATACAGATAAAATCCCCAACATTACACACGGCGTAGGAGGAAAGACAATTAGACACTGAGTATTTAAAATATGGCTGGAAATAACATTGGTTGAGATGTTTGAAGGGAAAGAGCCCTGCTCACTTCCTGGTCTTACATTTATAAACCTTTTTAGCGATTTTCTAACACCTACTTTTCAAATCACCTGCAGTGTGCCCTTTTCCGTGCTAAGCGATAAAGATACAAATCCACCCTCTTATACAGGGGGCAGAGGAGTGCAAATTAAACAGAAAATGTGTTTACCAGCAAAAAGCTACTGCCAAAACTAAAGATATGTCAGACATCCATCTAGAAGTAGTTCAATCAGGAGAGACTTCATTGTTTAAAGAACATGTATTGACACATGTCATATGATAAATGTTAAGTCTTTGGGGATTAGACCCCGATCCTGAAATCGTATATCTAAAGGGGGAAATGCAGCCGTGAGCATATAGGGAACCCCCCGGGGTCTAGACACTGGTGATGATGCTGAAGATCTGGATTTGATGAGGAGATGGGATGAAGAGGAGGTGTGATGAGGTCTTTGGATTAGCTCTCCTGGCACTGGATATGATGAAAGGAGGTGGATGGGGAGGAGGTGGTCGGCAGCATGAACACCTGAAATCACAGCTGACTGCAGGAGAGAGGAGAACCATTTTAAAGTTTGGCTGCAGCACGGTGATTGGCTGCTGGATAATGAGGTGAATGTAATAGGTTATAGACAACGCCCGTGATGAGCTGATTATAAGCAGCTGCGGAGTGAATGTATATACCAGTCTTCCTGAAAGAACTTGCGCTGAGCTTCATTTAAACTTTAAAACAAAAAATCTATAGTCTACTGTTCAATGGCGGCAATAACTCATAGATGTGTCTTAAATAACCAGGCCTGTGTAATATGTCATCCATCATTGTTTTGTGTGTGTTGGAGAGAGAGATAGGAGCCGGCTATGTTTTCCTGTGTCAAAAATCAATTTATCCGCCACTAGACAAAGTGTGTGTTTGTCTGCGTAATACTCAATTTCTGTTTTCCTCTGATGTCGCTCTGCTCTCCCTCTTTTGTGTGCATTAGACCTCCTAAATAAAAGGTGGCAACAACAGGGACGCTATTTATTTGAAGCTGATCCATTATTCATAACTGTAGCAAGAGGGCAGAAAATATCTGCCTATTAGTCGGCCCAAATGGCTTTTTCAAAAGATGCCCTTACGGACACTCATTATAGTGTCTTAGAAATGTTGGTTTAAAGGATTTTATTTTAAAAATAAGTGGTATTTAGACTTCTGAGCATGGCGGCTCAGAATAATCGGGAGCTTGTGAGGAAGATTGGCTACATCGTGGCTCTATCAAGCTGGTGTGGGTTGAGGAAATTCTCTATTCTCATTTCATTCAGCACTTCTTAACATCATGAGGAAGGTTTTGCCATTTCTGTCGGTAGAGTCTTTGAGGGCTTTTTAATTTCTCTGATGGACATCATTTGATATTCTGTATGATTGAAAACATTAGGTAGAGTTGTCAGTAACCAGGGTAGCCCTCTGATAAGTTAGTACGGTATCACACTTTAGGAAGCTGTGCTTTGAGCTTCACTCTCACATGTTCATTCTAACATGCTGATTAGCCTTGTAGTACTTTTTGCTGATAGCACTAAACATTACAGCTGAGGGTGATGAAGTATCGGGCACATTGAACTATTGACCTGATGATGATGCTAAGGGAAAATGTAATTGGATCACAGAAGTATGAATAATTCACCCTGAGGTGGTCTGTGCCAAATGTCATGTAAACAGACTGATCAACTGACATTGCCATACAACATTGTGGCACCAGCAAGGAGAAAAAAAGACAGATCCTCATTTTGAAGTTGGTGGTTGATATAAACTTAAGTAGTATAAAGAAAGGATGTTAAGATATCTTCCAGAAATGTTTTTAATGTCTCACTCCCTTCCTTGAGGAACTCCAGATACAGGTCAGAGATTTACCAGATCACTTTATAGAACGTTTGTGTGTTTTTGGATTACTCTAAGATTAGGCGATGAAGAACTTGCCAACAGACATGGCTTCAAGTTTACTTTAATCAACATTGCCGTTTATGACTAACTTCCATTGAACGATACGGTGTCGAGGCCGTTTAATGTTCACATATTTTGAATATTAGGAATGAGTGTGAACCTGAAATCCCTCTCATCTACAGCAGCAACCTACTACAGTGTCTTTGAGAAATAGCTTTTTTTTTAACTGTTTACTTCTCAGGCTGTACACACGTTGGCCTGTCACTCGATAACACAGATAAACTGCTTCTCTTTCCACTCTCTGTCTTCAGGTGCAGGGTTGCCTTTCTGTTTGGATTCAGATTAATGATTGAGCCTTTTAGGAGAGTTTATCGGGAGCACATGTGTAATGTTGAGTTTACCAAGGGAGGCGTTGTCTCGACTGTTTGATGAATGTTACTAGATCATAGCACAGCATATCCACATGCACATATATATATATATATATTGTATATATGTATGTATTTAAATATATATATATATATATATATATATATATATATATATATATATATATATATATATATATATATATATATATATATATATGTATATTTAAATACACATTCACTCAAAATGCACACACTCTCACAAAGGAGTCCATTCTCACAGCACTTTTGTTGAGATGCTGGTTAGGCATAGCAATGAGATATTGGGACAGCGTAAGTAAGAAAGAGGCACATTCATCACCAGCCACGGGTATCAGTTTGCACACACACACACACACACACACACAAACACACACACACACACACACACACACTTTTTGTCTGGAAAACGGCACTTCATGCATTGCAAATGAATTGGTCGCTCGGTAACTTAGTTCAATATTCTATTCATATGTTATCCTCCTGGGACAGTGCAGATACAGGGCGAGTGTGTGGGTGTGTGTCTGGCTTCTGTAATATTGTATTTACCACGAACATGACTTTAAGTTTACTGTCTCATCACTGTCTATTACAGGAATAGTTTAATGTTTTGGGAAATACTAACATCAGATAGCTAGCTTTAATATACTTATGAAGTACTACAAGAAGCCAGTTAGCTTAGCTTAGAATAAAGACGTGAAACAAGTGGATAGCGCTGGTCTGGTTACAACATCCACTTTCAAGCACATCTAAAGCACATACATTAACATGTTATATCTCATTTGAGCTCTTAAGGTTGCTTTGTCAGTAGTTCACATGTTACCACAACTGGCAAAAAGGGGGTGGAGCACCAAGATTGGTCCATAACAAAAAGGCGAATAACTTCAATACGCAATCACATATCATAGGCTAACTGTTTGTCGTAGGCTATGTGGGAGGCATAATTGCAATTATTCTTCACTGTGATTGAGTTAAAGATGATGTTTTTAAGGACACATTTTATTGGGAATTGATTTTAGTTTCTGATAATTACTGAGCTGTGTCTTCTTCATTATCATGATATATGCTGAACAGAGCTTCTAGAAGTCCTTCTCTGGGTGAAAGACCCCTGCATTTGAGGAGAACATGAGTTTGTTATGTTTGCGTGATTATTCATAATGGATAGAAAGACATATTTTGGAGGAAAGTTAGCTTGTCTGTTTCTCTTATGATCCTAATTTTCATATTTTAAAAAGTTTGTATTGCTCAAATGAACAATTGTGTCAAAATTAAAGGATGTTATGTTTGCTAAGTTAAGCTAACCAGCTGCTCATGGTAGCATAATGACATCCAGATGTGATGATCGATCTTCGTCTCTCTGAAGGACATTACACATTTTAGGAGGACACACTTTTTCTCCATAAATGTGTCCTCCCAAAATGTGTAATTATTCCTTTGATACATTATTCTACAACAAGGTCAGGTGAGCCAGCTCAGAATACACCACACCAGAAAAAAGCTGAAATAGCTGCAATGACGAGCTATCGTTGAGAACTTAAACCAGATTTGTTTTCCTGTGAGACCCTCAGTGGAATTGAAATAGAGCTTTACTTAGCCCAGTTAGCACTCTGTCTGAAAATCAGGCTAATGAATATGTAGGGGGGAATGTCTTTGTCTCGCCCTCTAACTCTCTAACATAAAAGTAAGATAAATGAGACCAAAAGGTTTGAAACGATAGTAGCCTACAGATTGAGTAGATGCATTTGATATCCTCTTTAGTCTATAGGGATTATTTTACATCTGATAATCTCCGCTTTCTGATAGATTCATCTAAAGATTTCTCTTTTCTCATTCCCTTTATTTTTAATTTCAGTGTATCTGCTCGCTCCATCTGTCACTCGCTTTCTCAGAGATAAATCTATCTATCCTCCATTTTTCTCCCCTGCCATCTAGCTCTTATTTCACGTTAAACCGCTTTCTTTTCCTCGCCTCCTTCCTTCCTTTACTTGCACTCTTTCTCTTAACCGTATTCCCATTTCCCTTTCTGAAAGAACTGGCAAGCTTTAGACCACGTTATTATACTTATTTTTGATTGTAGTCAGTTGTTCAAGGGAAAGATGCTTGACAACATTTGTTCCTGCCACTATTCATGCCAATAAAGCTCTTTTTGATTGGATTTTCGAGAGGGGGAAGTGATGCAGAGGGAGGAGAGAGATCTTCACTAGTCAGTTCTGACAAGGCTCTGTTGACTCAGTGGTCCAAGTCGGACTGAAGTGTCAACTCCAGTTGTTAGTCCAACCTTATCATTAGGAAAACGCCTTTTTTTAGCATCAGTCACGGCTGTCATTTAAAGAGTCGATGTGCGAGGCGGGGCGTTTGCACATATCAGCTCTTTCTCTGTTCACACACAAAGAAAGTGACATTTTGAAGACGAGAGTGTTGTAAACATGCAGTTAGACGCATGCACTCTGTGGCCTCATTTCCATCACGACTGGTCGCAAAAACTGATACTTAAACGTGGTCGACAGGAGAGTTAGTGTTGTAAATGTGTTTTAATGTCAGAGGTTGCATCATGAGCTGAAGCAGAGACAGTCTGACAAACTGTGTGAATGATGTTCTCATCTTGTATACTCAAATCAAAGCTAAATGTAATGTAAGAGCAGATTCGTACTGTAACTGCTGAATCACAGCCAATGGAAAATAGATATTCAAGCATAATTCAAACAAACCGAGGCGGATGTGATGGATCATGCTGTTCACTGAGTCACTGTGCAGCGCTATAGCACCACCTGTTGGTCAAGATCTATATAGTAATCAAAGCTGCATGTGTACTTCAATTAAAAACAACCCCAGGGAACTGTTTCTTCTCTGCTTTCAAGTTATTGCACACCTACAATTATGTAGAAGTAGAACAAATAGTTTGTTCTAGTCAGGGGTAATTATGTGGATTTATATTGTAGAAATAATGCTTTAAAAATGTATCTGCACGATAAAGTTGATGTGCTTTATTTCTCTTTTTCACCTCTCTCTTCCTTTTTCCTCTCGTTGTCTTCCACCCTCCAGGTTTAATAAAATCCAGAACACGAAGAACACGATGAAGAAGGACGGGATCAGCTCTCTGACCTACAGAGTGATTCAGTTCAAGAGGTACGCTCTGTACACAAATATCTCTGTGGAGATCGGCAAACCACCGCCCCGGCCTATAAAGGGCTAGAGAGCGACAGACGAAGGGAGGAAGTCGACATGCTTTGCCAGGATGGAAAAAGATGAGCAGAAGAGAGAAATCAGGAGATCACATATGCTAGACATCTGGAAAGATGCAGGAGGTAAAGGAGAGAGGGAAAAGCCCCAAGCACATGATGATCTCTTTCTCCCTCTTTACTTTTTTTCGTTGTAATTTGAGTTTGCCATTTCTGTAACAAGGACCCAGGCTCTTTCCAACTTTTTTTAAGCAGCCACTGGCTTCACAGCTCCTACCTTTGCCAATCAGTGACTTCAGGATTGAAAAAGTGTGGAGCAAAGCTTGAATATCAGTGGCCGACCAAAGGTTGGCTTCAAACTTGGAAGCTGATACTTGGAGTCTTTCATTTACCAATCTTCTGAAAACTGGAGGTCGTCCAGTGGCATATCGACAGAGGATATTGCATTTTTCTGGGAGTTAAGAGATGAGACAATAACGTCATTTGAAACTTTGGAAACTGTTTTGAATTATTCGACTATTTGACCAAGTTCATATAAACTGAAGGGAAAATGTTTTTTTTCATGGATACAAAGACAGAAACGAGACGCGGTGTTTGCCGGATTGGAAATGGAATATCAGGAATAATGAACATGGTGGACAAAAAAAAAGCTTAAAAGCATTGTATTTCCCAAGCATTCACAGTGATGGTCAAGAGAATAACATTAACACGATATGAAAACATGCAGTGATGCTCTTTAGACTTGTACATGAAAGATTGCCTATCAAAGAAATCGTCTGACGCTCATCTTTACAAATGATGGTAATAGATGATTTCATATTAACATCTTTGTCAGGGAGTTTTGATCTAATTACTTCATCAAATCCTCCGATATCAATTAATGAATGTGTATTGTGCCTGCATCTACTGTGCTGGGACACGCTGATCCAACATGTTCGTCAGCAGCAACAAACCCCTGAGAACTCTCTTTTTGTTCTCTTTTTTATATACATATATATATATATATAAACTCAAACTTTGGAAGCAGAAACTGAACTTTTGAAGTAACTCATGTGCTGGATGCAATGACGTGGAACCACCTTAGGAAAGCATTTGTCATCAAATCAAGGAACCGAAGACAAGGCGGATACACTGACAGCTCAGTCGTGATTCTAAACCCATGTTTGGCACAAATTGGAGATTAGGTTTCTGAAAGCTTTGTTTGTTTCCTTTCACCCCCTTGAAAAAAAATAGAGATTTATTTTAGTAATCTGGGCTTTAAATGTACATTTTTGTCTCTACACGGTGCAAACGGATTGAGTTGAATTGGAGTTGCATTAATTATCTCCAAGATAAGATATTTGACTAAGTAGTCATTAGGAAATCTGACATGTACCACCTTTACTGGACAGCAAGGGGTTAAACTGAACTGCCAGATTAGTAGTGGCTCATATTTTACAGGAAAAAGTGTTTTTTTAATTTTTAATTATCACAATTCAATCAATCCATTTACTATCTCTGCTATCATTTTCTCTAAATCTTTAAGAAAAAGATGATCATATCCGGAAAGAGGAAATGATAAGGTGATATTGTTCTGCCGGTGGAAATTGTGAATTTTAAGACAGTAATGAGTTTGAGCAGTTTGACTGACATCTCTATGGCTGCTTCAGATGTTATCATTACCAGCTGTCAGCTCTGTATTCAAATCTACTTTATCTCACTTTTTCATTAATGATAGCTACATTTTCATAACTTTCCTCATGTGAAAAATCCACAAACTAAAACTTAGATCATGACTTCCTCCATCCGCTTTATTGAAGCCTTTGACTTGTCTCATGTATTGTACATTACTCTTCTTCCCTTGTTTTATTTGTCCTTGTCTCTACTGTTGACGCCTAAACACCAAACTGATGCCTTCAGAACTGATCGATACTCACGGGGCAGGGACGGTTATTTTGTATTTAAAAGTTATGATTTGGGTACAAAATTAATCGAGGAAGAGATATGTTTTGAGATGTAATCGAGAAATTAAACAATATTTGTTTCAGTTTTGTACATTTTGAAATATTTTCACTCATCAAAAATGGTTAAACAGGCAGAAGATTATGCAACGCAGCACCTGTTTGAATTAGGTATCATTCAGGACAAATTGGGGCTTTTATTTTGGTAAAAATAATGTACAGTATAGCCTCCCCTGCCCAGCCTCGAGGCAATAATAATGCTCCCAGCTGATTGGCTCTCCGTTATCTTCGCTGAAAGCCTGTTGGACGGTTTGATTACTCCTCTCTCTGCCTCTCACACCCCAAAATGCATTCACACAGTCTTCCCTTTTTTCTTTGCATTATCTCGCCTTTCATTGCCTTTTCTTTCTTTCTCTGCCAGTCCAGGCTGTGTGTGTCAATGGCACTTTGTTGTGCTTTGTGGAGGGCCCACTTCAGGCACAGCTGTGTCTCACAAGAGTGCTTCTTCTTTCAATAGCTATCGACAGAGCCTCTCTTTGTGTCTCTGAATCTGTGCCACTTACTGTCTGCATCTTTATTTTTCTATCTCACTACACTTCCCTATTTGTGAATCCTTCTGTTTCCCCCCTTTGCTCATTTTTGCTTTTCACCTCCATTGATAATCTCCTGGTGATTTGAAGTGTCCTCAGTGGGCAGACTACCTGTTGAGAAGTCAATAAAGTATCTTCTCTATACTGTTTACAGCTTAACAAGTGCAATATTACAGATTTGTTCACGTGCACCACATATCCTGCTTCAAAATCATTGTTTTCAAGCGGTGTGTTAGGTGACAACACTTCTTAAAGGTTAGTTCTAATGCAGTCATGCTTGTTTTCCTCATATTCATCTCATGTATTTGAAATCTCTAGTGATCACTCTATTGATTTGAGTGTTTTACTTCCATATAGGTTAGAATTGGAGCCGCATATGCCGACATATCCTGACTTTTAGTTTCTAGTATGTATGTATGTATTTAATTCATGGCTTCAAAGTTACATGCACACTCACAACAAGCGGAAACTATAAGTTACACTTTTGGGAAAGATTTCCTCAAAACCCCCTTTCTGGTTAAAGAACACACACATTTCCCACATTTGAAGTTGTGTGTTCAAATGGGGGAAAATATTTCTGGAATCAGCAGCTCCTTGGACTCGCAGCTCTTTTTGAATATCACTTCCTGCTAAATGCCCACTTTCATTACCTACACCTACAGCTCATTAAGTTTCGGAAAAGAAAAAAAACCATGTCTCGAGCCGAAAGCGATGTAACCCTGATGACCTGATTCCTTTTTACTTTTAAAAGCTCATTCCACAGCAGAAATGATAGTGCAAATTGAACTTCAAAATTAAGATGAATTCCTTTTCATTAAGGCTACTCAAATATCACAGGCAACCCTTAATGAGGTCAGTTACATGAAGAAAGCTGAGGAGTGACGGGTATTGGAACAAATGGTTAACAAGAGTGTATTGTGTATTAACCAGAAACACGGGAGATATGTAAAAGATCAGCAGCCGAAACTCCAGCAAAAAAAGTATTTGAAACATCTCATTCACTTGAGAATAGAAACCACTGTGAGGAGCGCTTGATGTTTCTTAATAGACTCTTGACTTTTGAAGCCGTTCTACTTGTCAAGCTCTCCTCAGGTGGTGGGATATTCGCAACACTTTTCTTCAAATACTTTTTTTTGCTGCAGCGAGCAGACGAGACTTCTAGGCCTGTGGGCGTTTTTAAACATTTACTGTATCTCTAGCTATGTTTTTTTTGTACATTGAATGTTGAAAATGTTATATCTTATATAGAATGCATTACGTCATATCAAACCTACTTTTTCTATACAATCAATAAATCTGATGGTTAAAGATTACCACACGGTGTTGTCACTCTTTTTTTCCCAGGGTACTGAAGAAGACACTGGTGGATAAATAGAAATGTCATTATAAATTAGTTTTCACCTGGATCTGATGTCATCCTAGAGCCTGATAATGTAATATGGCCACTCTTTGGCAACCCTATTTCCTGTTTCCATGACAACTCACATTTCTGTTGTTTCTGTGGGGTCCCGGTGACTAAGATTACATTCAGCTTTACTCCTGTCCTTCATTTTCTCTTGTATTTTCTCTGTCATACAAACCTCCCATTAGTATGAACAAATCTGGATTGCTTCAAAGTTAAGCTCTCTTTCTTTTACGTTCTACTTCTTTTCTCACCCTTTTATGGTTTTGCAGGGTTTTGCTCTGGAAACAAACTGTCAGCAGAAAATGTCTGCAGGGAAATCAAGATGCTGTCCTCTCAGAGATACCAGAGCCAAACTCATTCAAATTAAGTAAAAAGACACAACTCAAGGAAAACACAGAGTGAGAGATGTTTAATGGAAAGGTGTTATGATTTGGAATACTTTACAAGATGCCGGTGAATAGTATCGGCATATTACACGACATGATTTGTTGGTGTGATTCATATTTGTTCCCTTTTTATTACAGGCAGTAAATTAAAGCTCCACATTTTTTTTGCAGAGACTTAAATGAGGAGAACTACACCGAGAGTGGTTTCAATCATCGCATCTCACTCAGAAACACTGATAAAGCAAAGCGTATTTCACAAATGTCAATCTTTTCCTTGAACCTTTCAGATTATTGGGTGATATTCTCTCACTTTGGTTTGAATACCAATCTCCTCAGGAAAATATAAATGTAGAAATGGTGTGTTCATTCACAAAGTCTCATGAAGATTTAAAAGGTGTTCATAACCCTAAAAGTTTCAAATGTAATCCCAAACCTTACTGAAAGAGGCTTTTCACAGAGATTTAATGCAGCGAATTGTGTCAGGTGTAATGATATACTTCATACAGCAGCACTTGGGAGTCTTATACTTAAGTCTATGTTTAAAAAACGCTACACATAAACATATAACAAGACTGGTTTATTTTTGGTTTTCATTTAAAGGTCCCTCATGATTAAAGTGGTTAGATATTGACAAATAACAGTAGGAATATCTGCTGCATATAAAACTACATAAAACAATTCAGATATCTTTCTTATAAAGGTAAATGACAACTGCATTTTGAAAAGAGTGGAAATATCAAAAGGTTGTTTCTATGAAAGGCCACATTTGTTCTAGTCGATAACTAACAAAGCAGATCATTAAAGATGTTTTTTCTACAGTACATTCACAACAAACATTGCTCGTGCCTATAAACTACTGTATAGTCATATGTTAGGCCATAGTCATATGAGTTATATTTCAATGGGCCTGGAAATTGAACTGCAGAATTGATACGACTGTTACAAATTGTTAATCGCTTTGCTAAGCCATTTCCTAGTCTAAATTGCATCACAGCTGCATTCATTAGGCTGGCGCATCAACCCGTGACAAGTCAATTACAATTGTTTTATCATCAAATAATCTCATTGGCTTTGTTGCGAAGCACGTCAGAATAAAAAAAAGAACTCTACAAAAGCTTACTCGCACATTAAGTCCTAGACTTTTTGAAGAAACCATGGCCAGGCAGACAAAATAAAAAAACTGTAAATATCTGAATTTTGGTGATGTTTCAAGAGTTAAGCTTGTTTTTATTAGGTTTTCTTTTTGAAAACCATATTTGTTTGATTATGGGTTTTGTTTATGAATACAGATGTTACAGTAAGCTCAGGGGCTGAAGGTCAGGCCCTATACATCCAACGTCTTATTTGACAATACTGCCGTCCATATTATTGAATTGGAGGAGATTTAATCCTGTTTTCCTTCACTGTTTTCAATGGTTTTCAAGAACTACAATTCAGTTCTTTAACTAATGATAACGTCTTTTCTGTGTTTCTTCACATAGATATGGCCGTATGAGGTTATTAGGGGGCCTACTGATCTTTCACTTACCAGCCTGTATGCACTGTTTATCCTGCCAACATGTGTCTGTGTCTTAGTTAGTTGGACAATACAAAGTAAACTAATAAAGGTATGGACTCAGAGCCCATCCATATGACAGGACCATGCTTTTAGATAATAATGAATTTGTTCATAATGTACTTTGCACATGATAAAATTGACAAAACCGTCTGACATGGAGAAAACCAGGAGTTTGTTAACCAACGTTTCAAACTCAATGGGTCTCATCAGTGTTGCAGAAATGTTAAACGAACAAAACTCCTTGTTGAATAATCTGCTAATCTGCTTTGATGGCTTTTGGAAAAGAGAATGTTTTTAGAGATGGAAGTTGATCAGAAATCGGGGGGTTGGATATTCTGAATCAGTTTTTCTTGACGGATGGTTGTTCAGGCGTACAGTTTTTGAGGCGGGAGCAGGAGGCGAGGCGGTTTCCCTCCCAGAAGCCGGCATCCTGGCCATCGTGACAGCGGCACTTGGTGCAGGAGTCGACCCAGATGGGCTCTCCTGCAGGAATCACCTGGCTGCGGGATGCATTCACGTAGCAGTTAGGACCTGCAGGGAGAGGAACAGCAGAGGTATGTAACTGCAGCTAGAAGATATTGAGATGCACATATTGTACAATCAAACAAACTCATCCAATGCAAATTATCAAATGCAATTGAATTACATTTGACAGAGATGAAATACTTTATTGTTCACTTTCTGTCTGCAAAGAGCATACATGTGTTTTTGGTTTGCATGTGCAAAACTGGTCTATAAAGGGCACATTAAAAGACACATATCACATCCATTCAGGACACAGTAAAAAACATTATTTTACAATTGAAGCTACATTAAAATTAGCACTCCATGGTGAGGTCTGAATCAAGGTTAAATAAATAGATATAAAATGAGAAGTGCTGTCGAGAAAACTGCCTTCCAAAAGCAGCTGTCCGAACTGATTAAGATATTTTATGTTCAAACATATTCTTTGAGAGGTTTCTCTTTGCACAGGGGACTCTTTGCATCTGTCCTGAGGGCGGTAGCAATAAGGAATGGCTAAGGTCATCTTAGACTTTGCAACTTTATTGTTGAACTGCTTTCCCGTGGTGATAAAACAGTGGGGTTTGTTCATACAATAGAGGAGATAAATCTCCTGTGGCATCTCTAAGAGGCCCTTTGTGCTTTATTGTTTATTCTTAAACTTACATTCTAACTTTTTTAATGCTATTCCAAACTTACCCTCCTTGCATTCAGGGCAGCATTTCCCAGGCTGATAATTGGGGTTGACACATGGTGGCGGGGCACAATCTGCAACTAGACAGCGGGCGATACCATCACTGTCACAAGTGCACTGCTCACATTCTGATGGCTGGGAAAACATATACACACACAAACAGTGAGAATCAACATTGATTATTTTCACAACCAGCATCTCTCACCAAGCCCTTTTCATGCCATCTCAAAAGGGGGCGCTAGTTACCTTCAATTTCAGACTATACTCAAATTACATACCAACATACCAGACAGTAATTTATTGGATCAGAGTTCTGCACGGAAATACCCTGAACAATATATAAATTGGCTTATATAGGCCTACTTATGATTATAACCTGCATGCTTGTGAAATCAGATACATTGTTGAAATATATGCTAATGCATAGTTACAGTGTACACAGGATTGCAGAACAGGCTGATACCTGCATAAAGAGAACTGAGGTTTACACATAAACAGTGCTGCTCACCTTTAGTTTGTATGTGTGATTGGGTTATTATGACAAAAACTCCTTGGTTGCTTACATTTTTCTTTAGACCTGACTTTCAAGAAGGGAAAAATGTAAGTAACCTTAAACATTTAAAGCCCTAAATATACAAGATTATAAATGGGGACATGCATTCCCCATCTATCCTGGAAGCACAGGCCAACCCTATCTTTGCAAGTTTCAAAGCTTACAGGCTTACCTGAAAGTTCTGCCCCAGGTCGTACACCACTCCTCGGTACTCACATCCGATCTTCTCGCACCTGGGGCAGCAGTCGGTCGGGTAGTGGCTCACATGGATGCATGCAGCCGGGAGAGAGCTGCACTCAGTGCGGGAACATGCAGAGCCCTCACTGGTGCATTCACACTGGGTGCATTGATCAGATTCCAGAAAATACCATTCCCCCACGAAGTATATGCTCCCGTTGGCCTCGCAGGTGCCATCCTGTCCGGCGACTGAGAAACCAAAACCGGCCTGTGCGCAAAGCAGTAGTGCCAAAACGACCGTGCGTATTCTGCGCTCCAAGGGAGGGCTCCCACTGAAAACCATAGTGAATTATGTGATAACAAATAAACAAGGTTAACAAGAAACATCCACTGTAGTCCAGCTGGGATTTGGGAGAGAGATTGCGAGAGTTATTTTACATTGTTGCTGAACGCAAAAGTCCTTGGCGTTATCTCAGTCCTCCGCTGAGGCTGAGCAGACCTCTGGAGAGAGCCCGGAAGGGGGTGGAGGTTGGGGGGCATAAAGAGGGAAAGTTTTATATTCACTGCTTCTCCGAGAGTTCACACGCCAGTCTCAGCTGAAGTCTTTCCCTCCCCCAATGTAACATATTGAAGAATATTAGTGCAGTCAGACTTTTACGAGACTCCAGGGGGTCTAGTGTGTTGACTATGGTCAATTACTAAAGTATACAAAGCATATAACTCGGTATTTATAGATAATTCATGACACTGTCATTTTGTAAAGCAAACATAAACAAAAAACAACAACAAACGGTGGGAAATATAGGGGAAAACATTGTTGAGTGTTCTCTTAATAAAAGTAAACCAACTGTTGACAGTTAAGGCAGATCTCGCGATAACTTCCCATGGCAACTGGAATGTTTACCCTGGATACCACAGCCCTGCTAGGTTCAAGATTGGGTGAGCATGTTTTTTCCTTTTAAGCAACATTACAAACGCATATTCTGAAATGTCTAAAACGAGTTATACACAAGCAGTTTATCATGTGTTTGTTGGTGTTAGAAATACACTTTGCACACCTCGTGTTTTGGAAAATGAACATGCTCGCCTTCCTGAGAAGACGGGTAACAGTTCACCTGTCTGTCAATTAGCTAACAATGCTAAAGTTTTGCTAACAACATACAGTTGTTGTGGACAAAACTAGAGAAAGTAACATGGTAATTTGTATCTTTTTATCCATGCAGTGCAGCTTCATGCCCTTTAAACCTTTTTTGTGTGCAGAAGTTGTGAGAGAAATATTTAGATATTCAACTTAAATATAGTTAGTATTACAGAAAATGCTCCATTACAAGTAAAGCTCAATGTAAAACTATACACATAGCAATGATATTTTACAAGATTAATAACAAATGTTAAGTTAAATCTTAAAGAATCAGCAAAGTTACTATCAATGTCAATTTAATGTAGTGGGGCAAAAATTGTTACGGTTTGCATAAAACTCAAGTAAAGTTAAATGGCTTGAAAATGACACTACCAGTGTTGAAATTGGTTTCCTCTAGCTACATTATATTTCATTTCAGCTTATTTTTTGTTTCTTTATTCCTAGATTACCATTCCTATGCAGTCTCCTGATGGAAACCAGCTCTGGTGCCCCGGCCAGTCCCTCTGGAGCCTGATCTCTGTGCATGTTCCTGGGTCAGAGCTGCGTAAGATCCACACAGCACTGGGCTACTCTGTAGTTGACATGTACATAGAGGTGCACACTGAGGTGAGTTTCATCCCCGCACTGTTTTTTTTAGCTTTACAATTAACATGTTTTTAAGTTGGAACATTTCTCTTCAGATGTAGCAGGTACAGCTTGTTTCATCATTCATGCTTTCTTGGTTCCACTGAATGTTGTAGGGTCTCACAAGAATACCACCAGATCATTTACAATCATTTTCGTTTTAGTTCCATTTCCGGGTGGATTTAACTATTTGCTCTGCTCAGCATTCCTTAGCAACAATTTATGATCTGCTGGGTTGTGTTAGGTACGTAGTTTAGTTGGTCTTTATACACGCCTTCATTCCTAGACTTCCTAATAAAAGTGAATTGTGGGTTAACTGGCACTACGCTGAAATGCAGTCCAAATGTGAGCCAGGCAGACAGACATCAATATTTTCTTTAGGCGAGCAATACTCTCTGCCCCCAACCCTCTTGCATGGAAAGTACTCAAAATGACCTCACTAAAGAAAGACTTGCAGGGCTATTGGAAACATCCACTGCTCGCCAAATCAAGGTCACGGCTATTCAATTCTAAAGAGAAGCAGGGTGACTCCTTAAGTGTGGTCACAAATATTTAATTAAACAAAATTGCCTATCATAAGTTCCAAGAGCTGAAACTCACATCATTCAATGTATTGTGTTTTATTCCAACTTCCAATCCATAACCTGAAGGTATTCAATAAACCTTATGATGACAAAACAGTGAAAGGCAGAGACAAAAGTTTAAAAAAAAATCAAAATTGTTCCCTGCTGATGAACTTATCAACAAATCATTTTAGCTCTAAAGCAACTCAAATGTTACAGTGCATTAAAAAGGGCTCAGTGGTTTACCATTAATTTAAATATGGGGAAATGCGGCCTAGTCTACTGCAAAAACATTCCTTTCCATCTGAGTTACATAAGCGACGTCATGCCATGTTGCACCTAAGACCAAGTGTGTAGCTGTAGATTTCACAATGAGTTTCGTTAATCAGCACTTTCTGTGGGTTTTCAATTTCTCTGTTTTGTTTTGATTAAGATACAACAGTGCCTCTCTCCCCTTCTCTTTCCGTCTTCTTTGCAAAATCGACTCTCCTACCGGTGCCCACTTCTGTTGTTTCCTCTTTACTGTGTTCTTTGGTGAAATCTCTCCATCTGTAGATGTTATCAGCCTGCAGCGGGCCCACAGGCCTGGGGCTGTTTGCAGAAAAACATGTTGACAAAGTCTGTCTCGCCTCTCAAGCTGTGCCAAGTAGACGCTGACCATATATTATTTTCGTGACAGTTAATATTTTTAAATTGTACATGTAAGCATAAAACAATCCCTTCCTCTTACCCACACACACAGGCATGCACACACTCTCATATTCAATTCACAATTACATTCTCAAATTAAATGTCTACCTACATTAAAACAATTTGATTTAAAGCACTTATCAAAGAAGCAATACACTTCAAGTGAAACCAGAATGTTGTGGAGAAATTCAGTTCATACACACACACACACACACACACACACACACACACACACACACACACACACACACACACACACACACACACACACACACACACACACACACACACACACACACACACACACACACACACAAAACCCAGTAAGCTTAGTGAGTCAGGGGTTTGGTATAACCGGGTTAAAGAGGCTAATCCGCAACTGTTGATAAGACCGTTAGCAACACATTTTCTTTGACTCTGATGTGTATGTGTGTGTGTAGTAAATATAGTGTAAGTGTGTGCATATGTATACCATGTGTGTGACTTTCAGTATTGCTCTGAGGTTTTTTTCACCTACAGTTCAGTGAATGCAGTGGTTGGCAGCTAAGCTCTCAGACGGAAATAAAGACTTAGGCTGAGAGCTTTAAAAGATTTCTAGGAAACAAAAAAAAAAGCACAGAGCACCTTACTCTACTCCTTAAGTTATTACATTTACTGCAGGGTGGATCATTTCATTTTCTTTTTCTTTCCTTTTTTGTCTGTCAGCCATGTAATGAATTCCATCCCTCAGTGAACCACTGTGAAAAGTAATAGTTTATCTGTGCACAATTCCTCCATTCCTCAACATTGCCATTCCTGCCTTCATCAAGGTCTCCATTGTCTCCGGCGGGTTAGATCAGAGGAAACATTAGCCTCTCTTTTCAAGCCTCTGTACAAGGCCAATCTCTCAGTACCTCCCTCCAGACTTTCACTCTACTGTCTCTCTGCTCAGAATGCAAATGAGCCCTTTAAGTTAAATATATTCTGAAAACCTAATTTAAATAGTTCAGCTTTTAGAAGGTTTTTTTAAACTAACAAGTTTCAACAGCGCTCACTGAAAATAGCTCCTGGATGAGATCACAGCTCAGGGAGAAAGAAATAAGATCCAAGAACAACTTGTTAGCTGGTGAGCCATGAAACATCAACACCTGAAGACAGACACAGGAAGCCAGTGTTAGGGAAAACTGCTGTGCGTGTGTGTGTATTCACACTGTGCGAATGCTGGTATGTGAGTGGCCGCACACACACATCAGCACACGTGGAAAGACCAGAAGCCGCGTGTTCAGTATCCTCTAGTGTATTCCTTTGAAGTGAAGTCTTTGACTGCAACATGACAGAAATGATCGGCAGGCAACAGGTGGGGAGGTGCTAATGGTATCCAGACTTCGCTGAGACACATGCACACAATCATTCACACACACCTTTTTAACGTCTTTTCTTATTTTACAAATGTTTCTCTTGGATTATGGTGAAATGTGTCAGTGCGTGTTTGTGTAAAAAGGCACAAATGAGGTGCTGGGTATAAAAGTAAACCTACTTCAACCGAATAAAGAAGAAGACAGGCATTACCTTTTCACATTTTTCTTTTTCACGTTTCCTTGATCTGCTGTGATAATCCAACTGTAGCAAAATGACACAGACTAAGAAGCCGCCTGTTCCCTCAGTAGACAGGGCTGTTTGTCTCAAGACATGGCAACCTAGAGTTCATCAAGCTCAGTCTGTGCTACTGAAGTGTTTCTACAGTTACGGACATAATGTCTTTTTTTATAAAGATTTATTTATGCATATTATTATTTTAAAGGAAACAGTTGTGTATGCCATATAAGAAGGACTTGTTGTTCCGATGTTACTCCTTTCAGAAAACAAATATTGGTTAAAAGACAGTTTAGCCCGATTTTTTCTTTCTGTTTATTGTATCCTGTTCCAAAAAAAAAAAGTTTAATATTTGTACCAGTTTAAAGAACACATTGTCTTCTTGTGCAAAAGACATCCCTGAACATGTTTTCAATATTAGAAATTGAGGAGAAAAATGGGGTTACATTAAAGCATAGTGTCAGCATTTTCACTAGTTAGTGGTAACATTTTAGTTTCAAGATTTTTGTATAATTGATATTTCTACCTCAAATATTTTATTATTTGAGCATTTTAATAGTTCGATTTTTGATGATACAAAATAAAAAAGGAATATATTCGGCTCAATTGCTTTTCTATTCCGTATCAAGCCAGGATATCTGGAAGTTGGTCCACAATGACTCTAAATCCTCTAAATACAAACAATGCAGTGTTCAATTTACAGTGAGTGAGAGGAATCCTGCACCTGCCCGCACTGCTGAGTATGCACCTATACACTCGAAGTATAATTCCTTTTTTTCACAGATTATTTTCATATTGTGTCTAATTGAGTCTCAATTGAAACATTGATTATTGCTTATTGCATGTGGACTGTCCACTTTGCTTTTAAAAAGTGGTTCACTCAATCAATAAAAAAGCCTGTGAAGCACGTCTTGTTTATATGTGTTATTTTATTATTGTATTTGCAACCACTTATCTAATATTTTCAGGTGGAGAT